ATCACTCACTGAAAAACCCCATGTGTGCTTTTTAACAAGCTTCCCAGGTGATTTGGGTGCACATTATGGTTTGAGAAACTTTACTCTGGATCAGGGGTCACCAAACTCTGTAATGGGCCAGACAGAAAACATTTGATTTCTCAGGGCATTTGTTTCTGTTGCAACTTCTCAACTCTGCCCCCGAGGCCCAAAAGCAGTCAGTGACAATACATAAATGGGTGTGGCTATGGTCCAGAAACTTTATTTACTGAGCCATATTTTGCTGGCCACTGTTCTAGAGGATAAGGGAAGTGTGTATGTGGTATTTTACCTCACACTTCCATTCAATAAATTCGTATCTAACACTATTTACTGAGAACATACCTGTGAATGAGGTAGGTTGTTCCCTTGGATCATTATCATCCTTCAGAACCATTCAAGGGGAACCCAAGGAGAAACCCTTAACCCTTCATCTAAAGCTTTTTAACTTGTAAGTTTTCTAGCTTTTTCTCTGTAGAACAAATGTGCACTGGAAGCTCAAAGAATTCCACAGTTTCACTGAGTTTTAAAGAGCTCTATAGGGAAGCTTGTTTGGTAAAAAGTCTGGGAGGGCCCATTAATTCTTCTAGAATTATTACCACATATCCTTGAACTTCTTCTGGAATGAGTTATTTAAAACAGTGGTCCTTAAACTTGAGCAGGCATCAGAATAACCTGAAGAGCTTGTTAAAACAAAAATATTGCTGGGCCCCATTCTTCAGAATTAATGATTCAATAAGTCTAACAAATTACCAATGCTTCTGGTCCAGGGACCACTCTAAGAACTGTTCTTTCAAGACAGAACATCCCACCTACCTACAAATCTCTGCTATTCAGAATACAGAATCTAATGGCAATTCCTCCATGATTTTACTGCTTTCTGTCCTGTGAGGGACCTTATTCCTCATCTCCATGATGTAAGAGAGTTAACAAATTCCTCTGGAATCCAAGAATTCAAACTTGAGTTTTGTCTCTCACCAACCAGTACTTCCCACTGTTTGCCAACAACTTGCAGTTTCATGCCTACAGTTTAATGTCTGCAGGCAGATAGCTCTGCCCTCCTCATGAGCATCCTGCTTCCTGAGCCTCACCGAGAACAGTAATGTAAGAGCAGGCAAGACGAGGACTGAGGAGGAAGGAAGGTGACGTTTCACCACACAAGAGCAGGACACTTTGGAGCGTGTATTTTTTGAAGACAAAACCAAGTAGGGTAGATATGTGTCAAACCTCTAGACAGTACTATAAATTAGATCCGTACTAGTGAGTTCTTCCTAAAACCTTCAGACAAAATGAGAAAATAAAGATAATTTTAAAAGCACAGTATGTTTTTGGCAAAAATGATAGCCTAAGTGGGATGGCAGGATAAAGAGAGGCAGCTTGAGGCAAGTGGGAAGTGAGCTCAGGAAAAGGACACCCAGGACAGACTTACCTGAGACAATGCCCAGCGCTGGCCAGGCTCTCACACCTGGGGACCATGTGAGCATTTTCCTATCATTGTTCAGCTGACTGATAAACTTGATATGTTTGTATGGGATGATATAGGAGCTCAGTTGCCATCTGGGGTCTTTGCTGAGAAAATGCACTATATGAGTTACAGTCAGCACACAGTGGACACTTCAGACACAAATGAGCTAGGGAGTAATGCTAAGTTTATTTAAAACAAGGGACACCTGAAGTTACTTTGGCACCTGGATTACAAAAAGAACACATGAGCTCACTGGTACTCCATGCCCTGCTTCCCACAACAGAAGTCCTTCTCCAGAGGCCTATCCGAAGTTCTTCCCATGAGTAGCAACTGGGGCTAATTCTTCCCACTTAACTCTTCCCAGATGGCACCTCTACAATGAGGTCTCCAAGTGACACATTTTTCCCCAAGAGGTGCAAAAGAAGGAACTTTCAGAAAGATGATGAGTATCTTTCTCCTGATGCAGAAGCAAGAAATTAAACCAGTATGAAATCCAATCCAGAGGCTAGAATGTCCTCCAAGTCCAAAACCACACCTGCAGAGGTACTCCCCTCTCCAATCCCCCAGAAAGAGAACAGGGATAGACTTTAACAAATGCAGCCTCCCTGGAGGATGCTAAGGGTTTTAAATGGACTGGAAGATGGAAAAGGGCTGTGAGAGCTTGGCTATTGAAAGGACTTCTTTCCTAAGTGAGATCTTTGATGCTTATCAAGGCTCGAGCTCCAGCTGAAGCTTTTCCCACAGCGGGTGCACTTATAAGGCTTCTCTCCAGTGTGAACCCTCTGATGTCTATTAAAGTTGGACCGTTGAATAAAACTTTTCTCACAGATGGGACATTTATAGGGCTTCTCTCCTGTGTGGATTTTCTCATGGTGGTGCAATCCTGAGAAATCACCGAAGCCTTTCCCACAGTAATCACATTTACAAGGTTTCTCCCCCATGTGAATCCTTTGATGCTTCACAAAGTCTAAACTCCTAAGGAAGGCTTTTCTGCAGGTGGGGCACTGAAAGTACATCTCTCCAGTGTGACTTATTTGGTGAAAAACAAGCTGAGAATTCCTGTAAAAGGTTTTTCCACACTCCCTGCAGGTGGGGAGTTTCTGGGCCATGGGGGCTCTCAGCTGCCCTCTAGGGGAGGTCTCTCTCTTCTCCTCAAGCCACAGCACAGACAGTTCTCCCAGATGAGGATGAGGCAAATGCTGATTCAGCTGTTTCCCAGAAGTCCTTTCCTGAGGACACAGCTGACCCCTGTTCCCTCACCCTGAAGGTTTTCCTGAACCTCGGGGAGCTTCTCTCCTTCTCCAAAGCATCTCAGCTCATCCTCACTGAAGAAGCCACTCAAAGAGACCTGAGAAGGTGTCCCTCCTGAGGCCTGACAGGAGGCATCTGGAGGTTCCTGGTCCCTGTAATTTCCCAAGTTTAGGTTTCTTTGTGATATTCCTGTGTTTCTCCTGAAAGAAGATAGAGAGTTTGAAATAGTTCAATAAATGGATTGCCCTATCTTCTACCTGATATGTCAAGGAAAGAGCCATCATAAAACATTATTTCTTTTTATGAAGAGGACACTGGTGAGTGAAGAAGAAAAATATGATCCAGCCTGAGTGCCTGGCACTCCCTACCTGTGTGCTGGTCCAGATTAAGCGATCCAGCTCTGGGCTGTGAAGCATGCCTGACAGCAGAGCAGGGCTCACAGAGCATTTTGTTGCCCCACCCTCCTCCCTAACAGCCATAAATAATCAGCATGCATTTCTTCAGGCCCTTAAGAAAGTGGCACACATTTCTTTTCCTAGGAAAAAAAGTGTATCAAAGCATTACTTTTAAAAATGTCTGGTTTTTGTCTAATTATATATAAAGGATAAATATGATCTCTAAAAACAATCTGGAGAAAAGCATAAATAAAACCCAATCAACCTCAATCATACTACCCAAAGGTAAGATCCATTGAATATACATTTCCCCCCAGTCTTTATTTAACCTATATGCATGCAAGTCTAACATAATTTACATCATATTGTATATAAGTTTGGTATCTGGCTTTTCAGCATTTAAATTGCAAATGGTGGTATTTATTATTTTCACATGGATTCTGCCATTCACAAGTAACCTAAAAATTCATGAAATGCACTGATTTTACTAAGGTGTTAGTGGAAAAGTGAGTTCCTTGATCTATACTTGAATCTAACATTCACTTCAGCTTCATTAAGTCACATAACAGGTAAAATTGTGTTATCATGACTTAGGTTTCCAGCTATTACTACTTATGGTGCAAATAGTAAAGATTTTTATTTTGGTGGTACTTTTTATTTTCAACTATTATGAATTACTCTATGAATATCTAAAGATCCTATTTACCATCCTTTCTTGTATTCATGTATTTCAAGTTATTTGCTACAGATCCAGGAATCTGCCAGAGAATTAGACCTGAACTTGTTAGTTCACAAAACTTCAGAATATTCCTCTTAAATGGCAAAGGTAGTTTCTCATGTCTTTAAAGAAGTCTTAAAAATGTCATGGTCCATCATGGAGATGTCATAATAAACATAATAATATTTATATATCAGTATCCCACTATTTTAGTAATTTTTCCTTTTCAAAACAACAGACTCTTAATAGTCACATACTGATGAAGCAGTCTTCTTTCAAAGCTCCATTACTATTCTTGCAGCTTTTTGAGATTTACGCCCCTGCTGGCCTGATTTAAGTATGAGCTCTTCTCTGGTAGATCAAACAAAACAACACATACGGTCTCTCCATGACTTCTGCCCCCATGGTCTCATCCCAATCTGGAGACTGCCTAACTGCTGTAGCTTTCAGATTGGCCCAGTCCTTTCCCACCTTACTGCTCACTTCCATAGCAACTCAGGGCTTGTCCCTGCACAGCTGGACTCCTGCACCAACTTCCCACAGGGCTCCTCTCCTCCACGTATTTCCTCTCAGTCTCCTGCACTTGGCTCCTCAACCTCTCTTCTTCCCACATACCCTCTCTCTCAAGAACCTACGATGGCATTTCTTTATCTTATCAAGGCAGGCTGGCTTTGTAAACTCTCCAGTCTGTTTCAAGGTAAGGTCTAATGGGGCCCAGTCAGCAGGCGGGATAAAGGGGGTGGGGAGGGAGAATGAGTAGGAATACATGAGCTATAGGTCACAAATAAAAACCTACAACAAAGAAGATCTCTCTACCTTTCACTCAATTTTGCTGTGAATCGGAAACTGCTCTAAAAAATAGTGTATAAAACAAAAATCCTACTGCACAATCTTTAGAGCAGTATTTTCAAGCTTTAGTGTCTGCTACCTACAGCAGGACATATATTTATGATGAAACATAATGCATACAACATAGTTGGGCCAAAAATTTACTGACATACTTCCTACCCTGACATCTAGTATTTTCTATTTGCAATCTGATATTTTCTATTCCATGTTATCATTTCACTTTTTAAAACGCTGATTACAATGTATAAGATGATTTTACAACACACCAGTTAGTTGTGAAATGAATTTTAAATATATTGCTCCAAAGGAATCCTTGTGAAATAGTATTATGGTAAATATATCGCTTAAAAATGAAATCATATATATCATTTGATATTTGCTCTCTCTGTAGTATATTAGCAAAGGAAGAGAACTAATTAGATCCCACTGGGGAGAAAGATGGCTTGTCATGTAATTCTCATCCTTGAGCCTTTTATTCCTCCATGGTCCTGGGTACTTTTGCATATGCAACAGGGTGTGTGTGTGTTTGATAGTTAGGTTTCACATAACTGCAGTGTTTTAAAAAGAGTGAAGAAGACAGTGGTTTTAAAAGGGTATAAGGGGTGATTGTTACATTACATCAGAACAAGTTCAGATTTCTTCTTCCCCAGTCTTAAGGGACAAGATTTATATGAAGAATCTGTCATTGTTGCTGTTTAATAACTGTCAGGTGCATGGAGATTAGCTAAAACATGCTTTTCTGTTTATTTTGTCTTACTTTGTTGACGGTGGGTTGATTACTATTCATTACAACCAAAATACGAAAAGACAAACATGAGTTCAGAAGGGCAACAATATCTGTGACACATCTGTTTCTGTAATGGGTTCTATTCGTATATTTAGGCTCGATCTGTTCTGATCTTTACTCTCTCTGACAAAGAAACTGTCACATCACAGCAGACAAGACTGACAGCAGCAGATCCAATGTGTGGTTCTTCTTCCATGATAAAGTATGTGTGTCAATAGACCTACAGACAGAGATGAGGAGACCCAAACTTGGTATTCACATGTGACTAACCAGATCATAGAGTGTTAACCAGGGTGATATAAATCAAGTCCTAATACCTCTCTGCCATCTCCGATTTAATGACAGGATGCCAGAGACAGTTTGGGCCCAGTGAGAGCTCACTCACCTATGTAGGTGGGCCTCAGAATCTTCTCACTGACATGAAAGTGCAATCCTGACAGTTTATTCCCATACTCTGTTAAATTAGTCAGATCAGGCTTAGAACTGGAAATGCCTGACACAGAGATAACATGTGGGCACAGATGAACAGGGAGGACTAGGCACCAAGCTGTGTCTTTCAAAGGCACACCCTGGGCATGAGATGGAAACTGAAGGCTCTGGATACCACTTAAGGAAACTCATCTACAAGGATGTGCGGGGCTTCTCAGACACCAGTACTCATGAAAGCCATCAAAAGAAGTCTAGGTGGGTGACCAGGAGGGCCTGCAGCCCACCAGGCACACTCGTCCAAGGCTTGGGACCCCAAGAAGGGTGGGTTCAGACAGTGTGGTTCAGTAGAAAAGAATGCAGACTGAAGACCCTGCCACACTGAGTGCCACTGTGACTCAACACTCAAAAGCCATGTAACAGAGAGCAAGGGACCTCACCTGACATGCACTTCATTGCCTGTGAAATGATGACACCATTGCCTACCAAATGGGGTACAGGAGTTAGCTTGTGTCATGCACTGATGGCAGCTCATGGGCACAGAACACTTTCAGGGCCAGGAAGCTGCAGGGATAACCTGACTATCTCCAGTTCCCAGCCCTTTCTCTGAGAACTCCCTTCATCCAGGGAATTTTAAGCAAAACAGCTATTTCCAAAAGTGCACAGAAAATGTCTAACCATCTTTTCCATCTCCTTCCACAAAGCTGGCATACTCCCTCACCTCCTGAGACCATTTTCCCATATGTCTCCAGCATGAGATCCCAGTATTGCTCTTTCTGAGTGGAATCCAGGTGCCTCCACTGCACCTAGAAAAGATACAACACGGTGACTCCAGTGGAGGGCCTTGAACTCTGCCTTCCCCACCGACAGGAAAGCTGGGAGGGAAGGGATGCACCTTGGATCCCAGCCAGCAGAGATCTGCAAGATCATGGGAGGGGTTCAAGGGAAGCGGCCAAGGGGAAAACTACATTGGTATTTCTTACCCTTTCTGGATTTCTTTAAATTGTATGTATTTAAGAATGGACAACACAGGTGGAGCCAAGATGGCAGCATGAGTAGGACAGTGGGAATCTCCTCCCAAGAACATATATATTTTTGAAAATACAACAAATACAACTATCCCTAAAAGAGAGACCACAAGACACAGGACAACAGCCAAACTACATCCACACGTATGAGAACCCAGCACCTGGCGAAAGTGGTAAGATAAAAGCTGCAGCCTTTTGGGAACCAAGGCCCCTTACCCCAGGTCCCGGTGGGAGGAGAGTAGTCGGAGCGGGGAGGGAGAGGGAGCCCAGGACTGCTAAACACCCAGCGCCAGCCATCCGCACCAGAGCGCAGACACACAGTGCATGCTTTGGGTGCTGGAAACTAGGGAAGCAGGACAGTAAGACCTGTGAGAGGCTGGCACCCCTGGGACAAAGAAAAGCGAGTGCTTTTTGAAAGTCTTAAAGGGAAAGGGACCCCACGCCTGGACAGAAGTATTGCGGGTCACAGTCCAGCAGCTGGAAATTCCACAGAACTCTGGGCGCACTAACACCCTGGGCAACAGCTCTGGGACCCCTCATGGAGGTAAACAGCCAAACAGTCCCCTGTGCATTACCCCTCCAGGGCCCTGCCATAGCAGGGCAGCAGCCTGAAGCTGGCCATGCCCACCGCATGGGAGCTTCCTCCATACTGGCCGGGCAATATACAGAGACCCAATCTACACACAATTGCCCAACACAAGCCACTAGGGGTTGCAGTTGTCCTAGTAAAGAAAGGCCAGGAGCAGGTGGAAAGAGTCTTGACTCTACCAGCTGTCAGATGAGTCAATGACATACCACTACACCTATCAATGATCCCAGCCAGCAGAGGTCTGCAAGATCATGGGAGGGGTTCAAGGGAAGAGGCCAAGGGGAAAACTACATCGGTATTTCTTACCCTTTCTGGATTTCTTTAAATTGTATGTTTTTAAGAATGGAAAACACAGAGAAGACAGGAACTTTTTCTACACTGTCCTCATTTTTTTAAAACTCTTTTAGTCCTTATAATTGAGATCTTTGAACAGTTGAGAGTCTAATATTCCCAATATTTCATTAAAATTGGGAAATTCAAGAGGGAAAAGAAATAAGTTAAAAAGCAATTTGTTGCAAAAGCAAATGCAAATCAGCAAAATGGTGGGAAGAATCAACAATTAGGTCAACTGAATTATAAGCCTCTGAAACGATGATTGGCAGGTTCAGAGCAGAGAGAGGCAGTGGCCAAACACACTTGGAATCTCCCAATAGTCCTGGTTTTAGGGTCTAATATTAAATCAGTTTTCCACCCAGTTAGTGGGAAATTGATGGGTTCTCTGGAGTGAGGTGTCCCTCAGTTCTCCCCCAAACAGGCCCTTCCTTCTTCTCCTATGGAACTGGAGACTGCAGTGTGGGAATGCTAGGAGGCCTATCGAATTAGCATCTCCTTTTGTGAATTCGAATTTCTATCATCCCACCAAGGGGCTGACTGTCAGAAACTGTTTGTATAGGAATGATTGACAGCATAGTCTCTGTAGTCAGACATAGAGGGTTCAAGGGCCAGCTCTGCCACTTTCTAGTTGTGTGATCTTTAAGCAAGGGAGTTAAAAGCCTCAGTCGTCACCTAATTATAGTACTGAACTCAAGTAACTGTCATGAGGCTTAACAGAATTTAGGCAAGTGTCATTTGTTTTCAAAGCACGTTGCACTTTCCATTCATATCATTCATACAGCTTATTAAACAATTTGGGGTATGTATATGTCTGTGTGTATGCATGTGCATACACATAGGTGCTTGATTAATAGCTGCCTCTACTAGCATGTAAGCTCCAAGAGAAGAGGACTCTCCATTGTACTTTCCAGTCCCTGGGACCCTGACCAACAGAGAAATAGGCAGTCAACATACATTGTCCAGGTGAAATAAGACCCTCAGCAGTCAGCCCTCAGTAGGTGATTTATGTTGGGAGAAGCAGCATATGCATCTGTGTGATGCTCAGTCGCTCCGACTCAGCCCTGAGGGTTTGCAGAGAGAATTAAGGGATTCTGTACACTCTCAGGAACCCCAAAGTTGACAGTCACCTATTATTGTCATGAAGGATGAGAATACAGGGAGCAGAAACAAAGAGAGAAGGAGAGGAAGTCATCCTCCTCTTATACACAATATACCACTCAGGGAGGCCACGCTCAGGCTAATTCAAGCCTGCCTTGTAACATATCAAGGGGAAGTGGGAATGGCTGAAAAAGAATGGAGATAGCAAAAAGTCTCTCATTATCAGATAATAAGCAAAATTTTGAAAAAGAAAGAGGGATGGAATATTTTAGGGTGAAAAAGGTGAAAATGTGAAAGCAATCTCAATATATATGACTAAATAGGGAACTATTAACTAAAACCATATTTTAAATATGAATTTTAATTTTAATGTTTAAAGTCTGAATTGTTAGCACCTTATTTTGTTAATCTGTAAATGAAGTTACCTTAACAACCTCCTGAAAATAAACCAGCTTGAGCAAACATTGCTGAACACAGGGGTTCTGTCTTGGTGGTCAGAACACACAGACCCTTGGTCCGGCACCGGAAGAGGAAAGGATGGACGTGCCAAGCATGGCGATATCTGCTTGGCTGCCTGGCTTGCTGGGCACGGGGCCTAGTCCACGGGCATCAGAATGGCAGCTACCAAATACAGTACAAAGCAGAAAGAACACAGCCACCAAAATCCCCAAGGGCCACAATCTGCTCTTCCAAAACCAGAAAAGATGCACAGTATGCTCAACAGTGTACCTTCAGGGTAAGGCCACACACTTAAGGAATGACCGAGGAGCTAGGGGTGCTTGGATAAACCCCGAACTCTATGAGCAGGACAGCAACTTCAGCCATCCTGCCCTTTTCTCATTTTTATAAAAAGCGGAAAAAAATCTAAATTCCTATTCCAGAAGGACTAAGTATGGATTTGATGGGGAAATCTTGGGTTTGTGTGGAAACAGCACCATCTTGTGGGCTTATGAGGCATTGCCACAACCGACTTGCATAGTTATCCCTGAGCCTGGAAACCCAGGCATGTGAGTAAACGCATCACCAGCGCTGGAGGCTCTGACTCAGTCACGGTTTCTATGAATGAAGAACCACCGTGTCGGAATGCTACTTCATTATTCTGGCATTATTCATGAAGTTCCTAATTTCTAGACGAGATTAGAAGGAATGTCTACTTATACTGAAAATGTCCCTTCACTTAGAAAAGATCCCATTAATATCAAGGTCCTTCTAAGGCAAATAGGTGCTGTGAGTTTGGGGGAGGGATACTGGTATTGGGTAGGGATGATTTTTGTTTGTCGGGGTTGAGCAGCTGCTAATCAGTTATCTGCTAAATACAGGGAGTTTTATGTATCTCTATACATATATATGATGCTGCTGGGTGAGCATTTTTCATCTGAACTTTAAGCTATCCAGAACAAGTCATGATTAATGCTGTTTATGTGATGCAACTTAACTCTACTACTTACAATATGTTTCTAAATTATATATACCTTTTACGAGGATGTTCTGTACTTACTACAGAAGCAATAATCCTCCAAGTGTGCTTGTAATATGCCCCCAAATCTTTTTCAACAAGCCACGACCTAACAATTTCATTTCTAGGTATCTTGAAGGCAGAGAGAAGGGTACCATTGAGGCAATAACAAGGAGGCCCTCGCCTCCAGAGTGAACCACAAAGTTGGTATTCTGATTTCTAAATCTTTGAGCCGGGAAAGCTGAAGTTCAGACCTGACTTTAGTGCCACGTTAAGCACCACCTACTGGCTTCCCTATCTTCACCTTTACTCTGAACTACCTCAGGAGGCAAGCCCCAAGAAGAGCCCCCCAAAGGTTTGAAACCATGTTTTGATTTAGGTGCATAGGTTCCTGAAACACTGGGACTTCTCAGAGTTGTTAAATGCATCATCAAAATAAACCTATTCCAGAAATTTCTGTTTACAGCCAAGATGAATTAACAGGGACTAGATTTACCTTTCTGCCTGAAACAACTGGAAAATGGGACAAAATATAACATATAATGGTTTGAAGCCATTACACATTAGACAAAGTGGAACAGATTCCCTGAAAGCAAGGAAACAAATTAGGGGAGCCCAAACTTACTGCCTGGAGACAGCTTCCACAGCAGCACAGAGAGGGGAACCCAGGTGGAACCAGGCAGCCCTCCCACCCCTGCTACTTGAAGGAGCTCAGAGTTTGGGAGGCTCAGGCAGTTACAGAGTCAGCAGGGCAGAAAACCAAAGATGGGGGAGCTCCACAAAAAGACAGCTCTGGAGTTCTGCAGAGGGTGCCCCTTGAATCTAGAAGAGATCCCCCAAAAGAAGCCCAGAAAATAATCTCCACAGCTCACACAGTGCTGGAAATACTCGACATTTCTACAAGCCAGAGTGGAAATCTTTGTACATAAAGGAGCATCAGATAGAATACTTAGAAGGGCATTGCCTCAGTAAGTGGGAAAAATTAGCCCTAAAGGATTCTCTGGTGCCGTATAATAAACTATGTCCAAGTAACTTACCATATCACAGAGCAAATCTCAAGAACATTTGCAGAATGTAAAAGTATCCACCACTCAACAAGGTAAAATTCACAATGCCTGACATCCAATCAAAGATTACCAGGCAAACAGAGCAGCAGGAAATCATCTCATAATAAGATCAATCAATCCACGAAAACTGACTCAGAACTGATGGAGATGATAAATTAGTACACAGGGACATTATTACAGATATTACAACTGTATTTCATACGTTCAAGGAGCTGGAGGAAAGACAACACATTAAGAACAGACATAAAGATATGATAAAGCCCCAATTCAAACTTCTAGAGATAAAAAATACAATGGATGGGATTAACAGATTAGACAATGCAGAAAAAATTAGTAAATCTGATGACACATGAACAGAAACTATCCAAAATGAAACAGATGTTTTAAAAAGAAAGAGCACCAGTAAATTAACTGTGGGATGATTTAAAGAGATCTATGAACATGTACACTTTCTCATTATATACTCAGAGACTTCTGTTTGCATTATTTAAGTGTGGAAAAGGAAGGGCAGGAAATATAAAAACAGTTGAGGAAATAATGACCAAATGAAAGTATAAAGATACATTTGAACTTCTTGAACATTCTAGCCTAAAGGTGGAATGAGATGGGAGACTTTATCTGCAACCCCTAATGTCTAAAAAGTGTTGAGAGTCACAGAGAGTCTCAGAATTAGGTGAGGAATAGGGATACACTGATGTGGAAGACCCTGACAAGAAATATGTATTTTTTCTCTGTCAACCCACATGTGTGCTCAGAGTCCCCAAAGAAGTGGAAAAGGAAGAGAATGAAATAAAAAAACAGTTGAAGAAATAATGTCCAAAAATTTACCAAATTTGATGAAAACTACAACCCCACAGATCCAAAAAGCTCGATGAATCCCAAGTACAAGAAACCTGAAGAAAATGACTCCAAGGTCCATCACAGTCAAACTGTTTAGAACCAGGGAGAACACACTAAAAGAACCAAGAAAGATACATTATATGCAGAAGAACAAAGATAAGAGTACATATGGCATGAGCCATTTTATATAAAATTCTAGAAAATGCAGACTAATGTAAGGTAACAGAAAGCAGTTCAGTAGTTGCCTCGGGAGTGGAGAAGCATGGGGGGATTACAGAAGGGCAAACAGAAACCTCCGGAAGGACAGATATGTTTATCTTGACTGTATCAAAACCTTTCCAAACTATATACTTTATGTGCAGTTGATTGTTTTTCCATTACACCTCCACAGGTTAGATAGGGGAATTCATCTCTCCCACTCAAAATCTCAAACTGACTCCTGTGTGAGAGGCCTGGACTAGGAAATAAAAGACTTTTCTTGGCATAACCCAAAGATAATAAAAAGGAAAGACAAGAGTGCCTCTTCACTGCTACGTCTTCCAGGCCCAGGTTCTATTATTCAAGATGGTAATTAGGAAACAGTGCCCTAAGAGAAATACTGATTTCCGGATGCATTCCATGTGTATCATTCTTGTTACCCTTGCTGGGCCCTCCTCTCTGCTTCAGTTTGTGGATGCCTCTCCCCAAAAAGCTCCTGACTGCTGACACGCACCTCTCTGGGGAAAAGGAGCGGAGGGACCCAGCTCACCTGCGGTGCTGTTTGGAGAAGAGAGGCTCCAAAGGCCTGGTCCCCGCTGAGCCTCTCTTCAGGCTGGGCAGGAAGCTGGGAAGCAGCCACCACTGAAGTCGAGAAACAGGAGATTGAAGAGCCTAGACGGTCCCCGATAACCACTCCCCGGGGCACAGGTAACAAATCTTCACAAAGCAGGGCTGACACCTGCCCGACCACCCTCGATTTCAAGCCTTATGTTTACCTCCCTAACAAACTCCAACTCCCTCCCACCTCCCAAACCATCTCACCCTTATCTTCTCCCACCTCCTTCCTCAAAACCAAAATCCAAATGGTCTAGCCGTCATGAAGTGGTTTACATTAGACTCCAAGTCTCCAAATCAGAGTGATCTGTGGAGGTCTATGCTGTTCCCAAACTTCCCAGAGATTCCCCCATCTGAGCAGCATACCACTTCCAACTCCCCCTCAGGCCCACTACCCACAACCCCCAAACGTCTCCAGGACAGCACCACTGGCCGGGAATAAGTGTCCCTTACCCGACTCTTGTTCCGTGTCGGACTCCTCCTTCACAGCGCAGTGCAGTGGCTCCCCAGGCCCAGAGGGCGAATTCTCAAGTCCCAGCTCCTGAGGCACCACTTCGAGAGGGGGCTCCATGTCCCCCGCTGCGCAGCTTGCAGGTCCCAACTTCTCTGATAAAATTTCCTGTCCTAGAACTTGGCTGCTTATCTAGAGACCACACAGAATTAATTAATTAATGAAGACCCAGGATGAGGGTTTCTGAACGATGCAAAGCTAACCTGTAACCGATCGTAAGGCTGTCCTTGAGGTCATGGGGCAGGGAGAGGGAAACCCAGCTTTATGACTAGTCCTGCAGGAACTGGTACAGGAAACATCCCGAGAGAGGCCACAAGCTGAGGAGTGAAGCAGGCCAAGAGACCTCTGACACAGGCAACCAGTACTGTGCTTCTACAGAATAGTCACCACCAATTAAAACTCAGGCATCTTTTGAATGTCTCGAACATTCTAACCTAAAGCTGGAATGGGATGGGAGACTTTATCTGCAACCCCTAATGTCTAAAAAGTGTTGAGAGTCACAGAGAGTCTCAGAATTAGGTGAGGAATAGGGATACACTGATGTGGAAGACCCTGACAAGAAATATGTACTTTTTCTCTGTCTGAGGTTCCTGGCCCAGAGCATGTTAAGCCCTTCTAATTACCTGAAGGATAGGAGGGACAGGAGCGACTTCTGTTATTCAACCACACCTGAGCTAATGCTGATGAGCTGATTCTTGGAGGACCCCCAGAGTGCTTCAGAATAAAGTCGGGTCCCCAGAGGAACCAGGTGATCAGAGGGGAACTTTCAGGCCCACCTCTCAATCTCTAAGGAAGGGAGAGAGGCTGGAGATTTTTCAACCACTAGTGACCAATGATTAAGCAATCCTGTCTAAATAATGAACCTCCCATTAAAAAAACTCTAATTTTTAGGGGTTCAGGGAGTTTCTGAATTAGTGAACACACAGACTTGCTGGAAGGATGGCATACCCAGAGAGAACATGGAAGTCCCATGAAACCCCCATCTCCTCTATTTGGCTGTTTCTGAATCATATCCTAAGTAAAGTGTTTTCCTGAGTTCTAGGAGTCATTCTAGCAAATTATCAAACCTGGGGAAAGGGTTGTGGGAACCTCTGAATTGCTAGCCAGTGGATCGTAAGCCCAGGAACCCTCTGGGACTGAGGTCTGAAATGGGAGCAGTCTTGTGAGACTGACCCTTACCCCGTGGAGTCTGAGCTAACCCCAGAGAGTGTCATACTTGAACTGAATGGCAGGATGCCTAGCAGGCATCAGAGCACTGGAGAATTGGTTGTTGATGTGGAAAATCTCACACATATAGTGTCAGAAAAAATACAAGATGCCTGCTGAGATGCCCAAGGAGCCCTCTGCTTCGCTTACAGATAACACCCTCTGCTCACCCACTGCCATAGTCTCTGGGGGTCTCCCTTCAAGCTCTCCACGAGGGTCATGGCCTCCTCTCTAATCTAACCTAAATCACTAATCCAAAGAGAAATATTCACTGCTATATTTATTACAGTTTTATTTACAATAGTTAAAATATGGAAATGACTTAAGTGTCCAAAGATAAATGAATGGTTAAAGATGTGGCAAGGATATACAGTGGAGTATTCCTCAGCCATAAAAAGGAATGAAATCTTGCTATTTGTGGCAACATGGATGGACCTAGAGGATATTATGCTAAATGAAATAAGTCAGACAGAGAAAGATAAAATACTGTATGATTTATTTTATATGTGGAATCTGAAAAAAAAAACAAATGAATAAACAAACAAAACTGAAATAGAGTCATAAATGCAGAGAACAGACTAGTGGTTTACCATAGGGAAGGAAGGTGGAGAGAATGGGTCATATAGGTGAAGGGGGAAAAAAATTAGTGGAAATGTTTGATATCGTGATCAAGGTGATGGTTGCACGAGGGTATATGCAGGTCAAAATTCACTAAGCTGTACACTAAGATTTGTTTATTGTATGTACCTTAATTTTATTTTTAAAGAAGAGATTGAATGAAAGTGTAAGAAGAGGTATCAAAGTTATGCATGTCTCTGTAGAGCAGCTAAACTACACGTCTTTGAAGACAAAGAGGGTACAGAGTACATGGTGGCTTCAGGGCATACCACTTTTCCACAGTCTGATAGGGAATGACTAGATTGAAAACATTCAAAGCCCTTAATACCCCACCAAGCCCTATGAATAATGTAACAAGTAGTTATGCTGGCATGTCAGACCTGTGGGTTGACCCCAATCTGTGTGACGGATGAAACTGAACTAGAAAAGTGGCACACTTTATCTAGTCAGATACTGCTGTCCTGGATGAGGATTTAAATAGTTCATCTCTCATCTAATTTTAGGAAAAAAAAGCCTTTTTGGTTGTTCTTACAGACTAGTTTCTATGTAAAGCCCCCCATGTATATTTTTTAAACCTTCAAAGAATTACAAAAATGTTACAATGAGAAGGATAGTAATAATAAATCTAAGCAGTAATTGTGAAAGTGACATTGAAGATATTGCCCAAAACAAACATTCACTCTAATTTTTGTAGATCGCAACTGGCTTTGTCCTGAAAGCGCAGTTTAAAGGGACTCCTTGAGATACCTAACTTTTAAAAAACAGCATGTCTACAGGTGCACAATATTGTCAACTAACATGGCTTCTCAATTCAGACTCCACTTAGGTAGGTTTTGTTTGTGTGCTTGTTTTTTTTTCTTCCTCAGAATTTTTAAAACACAAATCCTGAGTCTCATTTTAGGGAGTCTGAGATGAGATGAGTAGTTCTTAGCCAAGGAATCCATAATTTTTAAAACCTCTTCAGATGAGTCTCTGATCAACCAGGTTTAGGAAACACCAACCATTGAAAGTGTGTTTCTTGAATTAATAGCTTCAAAATATACATGAGGATCCTGTATTCTAAACTGCATAGTAAAAACACAGATTCTCCAGCTCTTTCCCAACTCTACCACATTAGACTCTCGGGACTTGGAAGCTCAGGGCTTAGCATTTAAAGATTTGTTTTTCTGGTGATTCTAATGCATGCCAGGTTTGAGAATTACAGCCCTGCATATAGCAGAAATGGTGCTATTTAACAATCAAATTCAGTGTTTGTTTGTTTTGTATTTTCACTGTAGAAGCTTAATTTATTTCTGTGATAGGGAGAAATGATGCTATCCAGTAAAATCAAACAGCAAAGAGAAGTGCAATGTTACAGTAGTTTGGGGAGTATCAGACGCAGCACTGAATTGAAGGGCAGGAGGAAGGCTAGCCACGTTTAGTTCCGGTATGAGATAGTTGCTTTACCTCTTTCCATTTAACCTACCTTGTCTGTCAGTTTCTTAATCTGTTAGTGAATAAATTATTATATGAGGCATGCATTTTTTCCTGCAGGAGGATCTGTTTTTCAAATAGAATCCTTTAACCCAGATCTATAAAACAGATAAAAAGGAAGTTTCTATAATTGAAATGGGACCAGAATTCCCTATGTCAAATTTGGAGGCTGCTTTATAGATGTTTGGGGCCCAAGGAAACAATTTGAAAAGCAATGAACAAAGTGATCTTGAAGATTTTTCCTAGTCTTATATTGTCTATTTATATAATTCTAAAGAGAGAACAGAGCTGTTTTTATCCTCTCTTTGTAGGTCAGAATTAATAATCTCTTGGAAACACAAACTAAATGTATGAATTGTATTTCCCTTGAATGAGAAAACTGTGACCTGGAAGTTCTCTAATGTTTAAACTGAAAGATTGCAATGGGCTTTAAACAGCTCAATTAGTGCCATGCAATAATTCCTAAAATATTCTCATGTCACATATTGCAGATTTTTTACTGCATAGGAAATGTCATGTGTCCTTGAATATTTTTGACATCTCTGTTTAAAATGTAAACTGAGGAGTCTTGTTACCCTGTGCAATGCATCAAATACTTCTGTTTTCATTAAACTAGATTCATCCTAAACGCTTGTACCAAAAGAGACACAGATAGTCTCCTTCCTTAACACAGACAACAAATATTACATTTGTCTTTCTGATTCTGATTCAGGCTAATGCTGGAGAATAAAATATTCACAGCATTATAAAAAAGTTATTCTGGAAGAACTTTATGTTAACCAAATTGATGAGTTATTGGATGCCTCAAAATACATATTTTATCCTAATGTTACCACTCTGCATATCCCCTAATATTTATTATAAAAACTTCAAATTTATGGAAAATTTGGAAAAACTGTATAACATCACATGCAATCTACAATAAACATTTATTTTTGCTTTAACATATATCTACCCTTCCAGCTGTTTCTCTGTCCATTCATCTATCTGTCTTATTTGTGGATGCAGTTCATCTATGCATCATATCTTGGGCATATTTGATCACTAATTAGAGACTCAGTACACTTCACCTCTAGACATTTCAACCCAAATGTTGTTTAACCAGAGTTCAGTATTTTCATTGACCTTTTTTTTTTGGTGGAGTTGCAATTAGTGAAACATACACATCTTAAGTGTACTATCTGATGAGTTCTAAGAAATGATCATCTTTTGTAACTATCAAGGTATTGAATTATCACCATAACCCCAGAAAAGTAACCTATGTCCTTTCTCATCAATTTCTGCTTCTCGCAGCCCCTGCCAGATGCAACAACTAATATGATGATTTTTATCATAGATTAACTTAGCATATTCTAAAGTCTTCTTTCCTTCTGCAAAGTTTTTGAAAAGCATCAGTATTTTTGCATGGATCAATGACTGTTCTACTCTTACTGCTGAACAATGTACCATTTAATGAACATATCATAGACGTTTTTTTGTTTTGTTTTGTTTTTTTGCATTCTCCTGGTAATGAACTTTGAACTGTTTAAAATCATCATTTATCGTGAATAAAGTTCTTGTGAACATTCACATGAATTTCTCTTTGTGGATATATGTATTTTTCCAAGTATGAGTCACTGAGAACTGTATTTTAATTTTAGGACAAACTACCACAATTTTTAAGTGGCTATAATAGTTTATACACTATACATTATATTGTGTGTATATATACATATATATACATATATATATATGTATATATATATACACACACACACACACATATATATATAGTATTTATTATTACCCATCAGCAATGTGAGAGCATTCCTATTACTCTACATTCATACCAGTATTTATGTTTCAATCTTTTTAATTTAAGACCATTCATTGTTGGTAATGTAATTATTTTGCAAGTCACTTTTGACTGATGATTTTGAGTGCATTTTAATTTGCTTTTCAGCCATTTGTATAACATTCTTTATGAAGGGTCCAACCCTTTTTGAGCATATTTCTATTAAGTAGTTGTCTTTTACTAACTAAGTTAAGAAATTTTATATTCTAGATAACAGTTTGTCACAAAGACACACACACACACATTGTGTGTGATAACATAGTAAAGTATAAATACACGCACACACTTGTGTTTTTTCTCAGTCTATGGATTGCTCATTTACTTTCTCAGGGTGGATTTTGATAAGCATTCAATTATTCTAGCACATTTACAACATCAATTAGCCTTTTGAAGTGTGGCTCTATTCTGGGCTTTGTGTACTTTTCCTTGATCTATCTGTCCATCTTGATGCAAGTGTCATATCCTCTTCACAACTAAAACTTCACAATAGTCTTAAAATCAGATAATGTGATTCAACAATGTCTTTCTTTTTCATGACTGATTTGGAAATCCAAATACAGAAAGTATTCTGTATTTCTAGGAACAGTTTCTCAATTTCTGCTGAAAAAAAAACAAAACATGAGGACTTTAAATGAGATTTTTGCTGTGTGTGTATTTATTAGGTGAATTATAATTTTAAATATGTTGAGTCTTACAATACATAAACATGAGTTTCTCCTATCCATCTATTCATTTAAGTCTTCTTTAATTTCTATTAGCAATATTTTGAAGTATTCAAGTAAACTTACACATTTATTACTAAATTTATTTTTATGAATTTCATTTTTTGATGGTATATAAACTGCTAAAATACATTTTTAATAGTTTGCTTCTAATATAGACAAAATCAAATGATTCTTGAATATTGGCCTTGTATTGTGTGTCCTTATTTAAGTTGCTTATTATTTCTAGTAGTTATTTTATAGATTTCTTAGGTTTTTGACAAGTCATCTGAAATACACTTTTACTTATTTATTTTCCATCTTTATGATGTATATTTTACTTTGCTTTTAAAATATTTTTGCTTTTAAATTATTTAAAAATATTTAAGTTAAATTATTTTTAAATCATGTAAAAGAAATGATTATAAAAAATAAATAGTGATTAGACATGAGTGGTCAATCATGATCAGGAAAAAAGTAAGAGAAAATTTAAAGCCTCAGAAATGAATGCCTCATAAGATGTGTAAAAGACATGCACAAATACCTGGAGTGTAGGATTGAAAAGATGAACAAAAATGAAATGAATAAGAGATAA